GGTTCAAACCCACCAGCCACTCCTCAGAAGGAAGGTTGGGCAATCTACTTCAGTAGTGATACCACTTCAGAAACCCAAGGAGCGGTCGCTATGAGTCGGATCCAACTCGATGGCAGTGAGAAGGAGGTGAAGTGAGCACAGTGTTTAGTGATTATTTGCTGAGGAAAAAAAATGGAATAGAAAAAAAACTTCACAGTCAAAAATCCATGAGCCATTACTGAGCTTTTCAAGATACTTTCCATAATACAAGGCTACAGGCATGATTAAATGGTGTTTCTTTTTCTGGAACTACACCAACCCTATGTGTAAATGATCATGCTGATCAAAAACTCTGATTGGTAGTTTTAGATGTCTTTAAGGATAGTTGGAAAACAAATTAATAAACAATATTTAATAACAATAAAAAAAAAAAAATCTTTAAAACAATCCCACGTGTAGCAAAATTACCCTTGGAAACTGCTAAGCTGTCCGCTGAGGCTGGTTCTAGTTTTGCATGTTCTTTTCCATGTTGAAGTGTGAGAACTGTTGCATGAGACTGCAGGAAGGGTTAGAACGTATGTAACCCCCTGGGAATCAAACCATGTCCTTTCAAGTCTCCATCCATCTTCTGAGGCAAACAGGGCAGGGTGCAGCGTTCCTCACTGTTGTGGCTTCCCTCCAGGTTAGCTCTGTTTTCTGCTGACCGTAGGCAGCAGAATAATAGTAACCCAGAATAAACTTGTGAGGATTAACTGTGATAGTGTCAGTCAGTGTGACAGAGGTGGTAAGTCACTGGGGCCATGCTCCCTGGGTTCAGATCCTGGCTGTGTGACTATGGATAGTTACGTAACCTCTCTGTGCCTTGGTTTCCTTCTCTGTAAAATCATATGATAGTAGGACCTCTCCTCTGCCTACCACTGTGTAAGCTCCATGACGATGGGATCTTGGTTCTGTGTTCTGGTACATCCATGATGTCCATATCAGGGCCTGATACAGTGTAAACAAACAAAAAAAAAAACCCAAACCAGTTCTAGCCGAGTAAATCTGGATTTGTGGTGACCCCATGTGCACAGAGTAGAAGTGCTTCTTGGGGTTTTCATGGCTGCAATCTTTCAGAAGCAGATTGCTGGGCCTTTATTTTGAGATGACCTTAGGTGGATTTGAACTGCTAACCTTTTGGTTAGTAGCTGTGTGCTTAACTTGTTTGTACCACCTATGGGATCCTGGCAGAGTGTACACGCTCAATAATTGTTAGATCAGTGACTGAATTAAACTGAAAACTCCTTGCCTAGGGCCCAGAACAAAGTAGGAGCTTGGTAAGTGTTTGCTGCGTTTGAAGCTCA